TCCCAAAGTGACAGAGGAAAGCAGAGACTTGATTTCTTCCCCCCCCCCCCCCAGGCCATGGTCAGCCCAGGTACACGGGCACAAAGAACATCTGCAGTTGGAAAGAGAGGGCTAGGTTCACAGCATTTCTGTTATCTTGCACATAGTGATATTAGGCTCCCAGGGAAAATACCCCTTCTGAGGTATGACATAGGATAGTTGAAAGAGAATCTAAGTCTTAGATGACTCCATTTCTCTTCCTTGCCTCCCCTTCTTCACCTTTCCCCCATCAACTACTAACTACTTGTGGCTACTAACAGCTTGTGGAGTTGCTAGACAGACTGCCACTGAACTCCAGTTTTAAGTCCAGATTTAGCTGAAGAAATTCTCATACATTTAGACTGTGGCTCCCTGTCCCACTGGGTACTAGAGGAACCACACTGTGCTTCCTAATCCTGCTTTCTCATTCTCTAGAGGACAGGAGATTATATATTCTAAGCAGCCATGGTGGGTGGAGATGTACAAGCTGCATTTCTCAGTTGTGACCTTAATACCCTGGAGGGCCTTTTAAGATAGAGTTCTGCTTGGATGGTCTCACCTTAGGACTTTTTGCTTCCTAGTTGTATCTTCATTTGCTTGTGTCATATCCCGATGACACAAGCTCTCTGTTCACCTCTTGTTGAGAATGGTCATGGAGACATGACCTCTATATTGGATGGGCCTGTGTATGAATCATGGTACAACTTTACTCTCTGAGTGATACACAGGACGGAACTTATAAAATGGGGAAAACAGAACACATGTTTTGGGGCTTCAAGACCATGAAATGAGTACTTTTAGTGGTTATATCACTATGGAAAGTGGGGCCTCATAGAGAAGACCTCCTCTATTCCCTGCTTCTTGCCTCTCCTTCCTGACTTTTCTTCTACCCTGCCTGACATCCTGAAACTGGCAGCAAGCAAGAGGTAACAGGATAAGCCACAACTAGCAGATGGGATGATACAGGACATCTTTGCAGCTCTCTGCTTTCTTGCTCCCCCAGCCTATTATCTGTAGAGTCATAACTTCATCCTATTTCTTCCAGGGCTTCAAAGGACACACAGGTGATCCTGGCCCACCTGGTCTAAGGGTAAGTAGATGACTCGGAGCTGACAGTTACCAGGAAGAAGATTCCAGGGATTGGGGGACATCACCTTGCTATTCTGTTTAGGAAAGAACAGTAGACACACTCCATGATATCACAGAGGGTGGCACCATCCCAACTTTTGAGTTGAATCATGTAATTGGTTCTTCTGGGCTCACAATGACAAATGAAGACAAATTAGCCAAATCAACCTGAACTCCAATTGCCTGTATGATATTGGCTGTTCTCATGCCTCCTGAGCCCCATGATGAAAGACATGGTATTAGGCTTAATTTACAGAGCACACTCAGGTCAGAAGTCATGGGTGACCTCCCCAAGTCATAGAGCATCTATAATGTTAATACATATGCCTTATCTCAGGTGGGTAGCTCTTAGAACTTCTTATTCTTTAACACCTGTTTCTTCAAAATGTCCCAAACTGAAGCGACTGTTGGGTCATTGTTTGGATTCCTTGAATGTTGTGGATAACCAAGACAGAGCTAGATAGAGAAACCCTGATAAGCAGGTAACAGGGGCTCAAATAGGTTCAGCTGACCCATCATCTTGTGTTCTTCCTGTTTTCCCTGTTGGGGAGACACTCAGAGCTCCCCTTGCTCTCCTGAAATCCAGTTCTGCTGCAGAGGCTGCTATACTCTGTGGAGGGCACTTCTATCTGATAGCCCTCTGGGGCTCTGCATGTCTCCCAGACCTTTAGATGCTGTGTGTTTGTAATGGCCTATAGCTGAATCAGCTCTGTCCCTAACAGTAATTATTTTTGTTCCTAGGGAGAACCTGGGACTACTGGACCCCCTGGAAGGGAAGGATCACCAGGAAAAGATGTAAGTGGGGATTCCTTAGCCTTCAGTGGTTGAGAGAACAAGACATGGCACCTAATAATCAATCCTACCATAGTGACAGTTGGCAGTTCTGTGAAGGAGTTGCTATGACTCATAATTGGTTTTTATTGGGACTTGAGCTTCTTCCATATTTGGGGTCAGTCTGTATTTCATAGTTCATGGAGGCTTTTCTGGGTTTATCTGATTTGTCTACTGTCCAATAATGGGTCCACCAGATCTATTTTGCATGATTTGAGAGGCATTTCATGTTACCTTGCAGTTGCTTCTCTATCTCTTGAACTTTCTGGTGTTCATAGTAGTTATAAACCCCTCAAAGTCCCTACCATCATTTGATATCAACACTATTGCCATTACCACCACCACCACTGCCACCATTATCAACAACAGCACTACCCCATGTCCCCCTACCATTAATATGACTAATGCCATAACCATTATCACCACTATCTTTAAGCCAGCACTAATTATAGCACTTTGGTCATTATCACCACTGCCACTGTCACTAAAACCACCACCAGCAATGGCAGCAGCAGCTGTTCTTGGGCTGTATGTCACTTTAGACATTTAAGATGTCTCTCACTTTTCTTTGGTCTTGAAATCAGGACAGAGAAGAAAGAGATTTTCTCTGCAAGGCACAAATGAGAATACTGTCATAAAGAGATTCAGGGGTAGAAGGAGCCACAATGGAGCCCATATTTGTAGCTCAACCTCCATGCCCATTCCCCAGTTTTCCAGGTAGACAGAAATTAAGGTATGTAGATTTTTCTCCTAGGAATGGGAGCTTGTTGAAAGCAGGGAGACATGGTCCTGAGGTCCCAAGTGGTCTTCTTCTAGACCTTTAAATCTTTCATGACCTCCATGGGAACCTACCTAGCATATGGACTCCTCTAGTTTGTCTTGATACAGTAGCATATTGACTGTTTGGTGGACCTGTTGTGAAGGAACTAGAAGGTATCACATGAGAAAGTCAGTCAAGTTCTCTTGATTTCTCCCAGAGGTTTATCCTGGTTAAGTTTGTGCCAACTTGACATAAGCTGGCATCATATAAGAGGAGGGAACTTCAATTGAGAAAATGCCTCCATAAGACTGGGCTGTTGACAAACCTGGTGGGCATTCTCTTAATTAGTGACTGGTATGTGATGTTACCCTTGGGCTGCTGGTCCTGCCTTCTAGCAGAAAGCAGGCTGAGCAAGCCACGAGGAGCACACTAGCAAGCAGGACTTCTTAATGACCTCTGTATCAGAGTTTCTGCCCCAACTGCCTAGGATGATGAACTGTGATAAGACAGAGTAAGAGAAACCCTTTCCTCTCTGGTAATAGTAATGGTAACCTTAACTAAGACATGGTTGTAAAACCAATAAAGTAGGTGGACCCCGTGAGGCTATCTGAGACACTGTGTGGGGTGGTGGTGCTGTTGGGTGGCAGATTTCAAACTGTGGTGACTTAGGTAGCAATGGCTATAGGTTATTATCCAGTGAATTTTTCACTTTGATTTGCCTTGATTCAAGATCTGACAACCTTAAACTACCAGGAAACAGGTGAACTATGCCTAAGCCAGTGAATATACATACTCATTTATAAATGTGAACTAAAAAGCATCTCCTCATCTGGGTGAAACAAATTTGTGAATGTTTCAAGTCCTTGGTGATCAAAAGGAAGTGTTTGGACACAGTGCTGGGTTCCTGGGTCTGTTGGTGAAATCTGGTCCACAGTAGATCTTTGCCATTTTTGCATGTAGCTCTGTGATTATATAACCCCTCTCTGTTCCAGGGTGACACTGGACCTGCAGGACTTCAGGGTCCCAGAGGACCAAGGGGCCCACCGGTGAGTTTTCTTTTGACATTAACTTGCAGTATTGTTCAGAAGAGCTGTTACCATGGTGATGTTGGGTGTTTAACACTGGTGTGGATACAGGCATTGTTTTAAAATGATGCTCTATGTCTTAGAGGATGCAAAACAGCTACTGCCCCTTTCCCCAAGTGCCTTCCTACATATGCTCCACTGACAGTCTATCCACAGGGACTCTAAGAGCTGCAATATTTCTAGTTTGGGGCCATTACACAGTTTTACATGCCACATATGAATATTCTATAAGTGTCACAGCTGGCAGCTGTGACAGAAACATTTATCTTTGTTTCTGGAGGCCAGGGGAGAGAAATTAAGGTACTAACCATGAGGAAGAACATCCCTGCATCTTCAGCTTCTTAGAGAGTGGGGGGTGCATGAAGTGACCAACTGACAGCATTGGAACTCATTAAATATGGCTGGGTGGTTGGCAAAGTGATGCCTGAGTAAGCCTTGGAGAGACAAAAAACCAGAAGACTACATGTCTCGAGGACCTCATACTGTTATTGAGTATAGCTCTAATTGTTGCCTTCATAATTGACACATCCTGCATAATCTACGGGATATGTGAAAACTGAGCAGTGTTACTGGTATTTACAGTAACAGTGTTTGACTTTTTCTAAGCATTGCTCTTGGGTCAGATTAATGATTCAACCACTACCCTTAGAAAGAAATTAGACATATAGATTGTAGTATTGTTAGGTTAAGATGTTTTTGTTAATAATTTTGAGGTTGAAAATTTTAGGGAACAATTTAAAGTTTATAAAAACACATTTTTTTGCTTCAGAAGGAGATATTTATTCAAAGAGAGATAGAAAACAAAACAAAAATAAAATAAAAAGATGTCCAACCCTTGCCTCCCTTCCCTCCCGTGTCTAGCTGTTCCTTAGCCCCAAGGACTGAACCCTGGCTAGGGCCAAGTAGCAGGACAGCCCCTAAAATGAGGTCAACAACACTGAGGGGCATCTCTTCAATGAAGATGTTGTAGAATGTCTCAATGTCTCAAAGAGTTCCCTTGTCTTCTTCTGTCACCATATTAATAGCCACACCTTTACGGCCAAAGTGACCAATTCTGTGAATGTAGTTTTCCCTGTTGGTGGGAAAGTTGAAATTGATTACTAAGGAGACCTGCTGCCTAGGTCAAGAAAGATGATACAGCTGTTAGAGGATACAATCTGTCCAGACTGACTAGGCATACATGCAAACAGCCAAGGCAGGCAAAAGCAACAACCATCTTTTGTTTCCCAGAGACCTCAGACATGCCAGGTTTTCTTCCAAGTTACTGTGTTTCTAAAAGGGGCACTAGTTAGCCCCTTGGAGAGGGAATCACCTTGGACAAGACATACTTTTAATAGTTGAACAAGGGACTTGCTGAGATTAGGGGACAGGAACAATGGTAGCTTGGCTATTGCTGGCTGACATACCTTTCTTCCTAGGATGGGTTGATGATCAAAGGTGATGATTAATTCCTTTTACCCATTTCTGCCCTCAGCTTCCTGAGATAGATAGATAGATAGATAGATAGATAGATAGATAGATAGATAGACAGACAGACAGATAGGCAGACAGACAGATGTAGATACACAGATTAAGATACACAAGACTTTAATCAATATAGGTTAATTTTATGTGGGGAGAAGTCACTTACATGAGAAACCTATGACCCACAAGTTCCAGCTCTAAGGATCCACACCCAGCTGCTCTCCATGACCCAACCAGAACCAAGAGACCAAGCCTGTCCTGGACCCCAGACCAAATCCCACATGCTCACATATGCACCTGTGACCAAACCCATTTGGGTCAGTGCCTCAGGTGCAGCTGGTTGGATCTCTCCATACAGATATTGATATAGATATAGATATAGATATAGATATAGATATAGATATAGATATATGGGTGGTTATAGACCCTGAGGATTTAAAGTAGAGCTGGCTATTTTTCATATATAAACTTTTGGATTTGTGAGTCTTTTAAGATATTTTTATACTGACTATAATAACATTGCTTGGCTTAGAGAAGTATCACTCCATCTATGCTTCTGTCTTCGTGGAATATTCCTCCTATATGTATTGTGTGTGTGTGTGTGTGTGTGTGTGTGTGTGTGTGTGTGTCCCAAATTCTGCTTACATCAGGTATTGGTCCTATTGAATTAAGGGTCCGACCTATTATACCCTAAATTGATGTAACTGATGACATCTTTGGTGATGGTGTTAACAAATGTATTTCACATGTTGTTAAATATTTGGCGTTTTATCCATTCCCATTCATACACCTTGGTAAATCCACAGAGTATGAGCAAAGGTAGAAAGTAGACGTTAGGATGCCTGGTGCTATGTAAAGAGAAAAGCCTTGGAGACCCAGGAGAGGCAGCCATGTTTGTAACTTAGCATACTGTGAAGAGTTAACTTTGCTTCTAGTAAGAATGTACTCTAAAACAAAAATAGAAAGTGTATCATTTCAAATATGTAAACCAGTACAGTGATTTATTATCATTCCAAAGTATGATGTTCCATGGATCACTTTAGCTTGTAGTGTTTTTGTACCTGTTGCTATAGTTTGGTCACCCAATGTCATTGCTAATGTCTAAGTTGTAGGCTATGCTGTGGCAATGGCATGGATATGATGTTATTCAGAAACATGAACTTTTCAGCTCAACTACATTGATTTCATTCATGATGTAATTGTAGATGTGTACACAGCCCCAAAATGTTTATTTTGCTTTCTTTAAAATCTACAGTCACACAGGGATGGGTAAAACTCATGGCCACTGGCTTCAAAGAAAAGATAGCATTCATTTTGTTTCCTTCCAAGACTTCTGAGTTATGAAACTATGTTATGAATCTGCCTATGCAAAGATAAGAAATGAAGATGCTGAGATGCTCATAGTTTGCCCAAGATCACACAGCTCATCAGCAACTGATGCCAGCCTTTGAACTCAAGCAGTCTGAGCCAAGAGTCTGAAGTGTAAGACTGCACCCCAAATGTCTGTGGACTAGATTGCCTTATCAGAAAGGTTGTCCTCCAGGAAGGGGGTTTAAACAGGAGTTTGGAGACCAGACGCTTGAGAAGGTGTCTACAGCCTCAATTCATGGGCAGCATAGAACCCAGAAGGGCTACTTGTTGGAGGATGATGATAGATAGATAGATAGATAGATAGATAGATAGATAGACAGACAGACAGACAGACAGACAGACAGACAGATAGATAGACAGACAGACAGACAGACAGACAGACAGACAGACAGAGTATGGGCCTGTGGCTAAGGGAGGACCTGGTCACAACATCAAAAGACCAAAGTTCACAGGGAACAGGTGCCCACCAAAACTAGTGTTGGCACCATGTGCTAATGTCTGGTGGCCCTCCTCCTTCCACAGAAGCAGAGAGAGGATTAGAGCAATAAACAGGAGAGATACCATTTCCATAGGGATGAGCCAAAGTACATATTTTTAGAAAGACACAGATGGGTTGGTGGGTGGAGGGAATATAGGGAGGGGGGCAGGCAGCCCTCACTAAAAGGTCTGAGTGTGCCTGTCAATAAAAAATAATGCTCAGGGCTTCCTTTTCTGTACTCACTAGCAGAGATCCCAGGCAGGGCTTAGATTTTCTCTTTTTATTGATTTCCTCCTGAAATAAAGTTATCTATGCTACATGGTTTCTGAGTGCATCTGCTACAATCCGAGGTGCTTGGTCTTATGAACATTTTAGGCCAAAGGAAGAGACTGCATTTCTGGTTACTAACGTAAAAACACATCCTTAACAAGGGAAGTGCAGTATAGGATGGGCTCACTATTATTCTCAGAACTCAGCTTTCCACTTCTCTCTTGGGGGTGTGGCTTAGCATTTCTGTGCCTCAGTTTCTCCATATGTAAAATGGTAATGACATTTGCATTTGTTGTGAGAAGTGAATGGTTTATAAAAAGGACTGGTATGTAATATAAAAGGTTCCTAGCTAGGATTGCCTAAAGGTTGTTGACTATCAAATTTTGGGTGTTGACACTTTCATGAGTACACAATTAACAATTACAAGACATCATTCAGATATTGCACTTTCAGGATTAACACTGAATAGACCTCTGTGATGTTCTTGGTCTTTTCATTAACAGAGAACCCCACTGTGTGTCACTCACTAGATGCTGGATATATAAGAACTATAAGCCAAAGATTCATGGCAGGGCTGTGAGCTGAGCATAGAGAGCATCTGGTGGGAAGTCTGGTGGGCAGACAGTGTTGAACTTTGGGAAATTGAGCTGTGCATTTTAAGCAATAGGGATTTATTTGGGAGTGAAATGGGATAGCTAGGAGAATTCTTCAGCTTCCTAATATTTGCTCTAGAATGGATCCGTGTGTGTGTGTGTGTGTGTGTGTGTGTGTGTGTGTTAACTTTTACAAATGGCTTCATATAACAAAGAGTGACTTCTAACTCACTGTGTAGCTGAGACTGACTCTGAATTCCTGATGCCCCTGCTACTACCCTCAGAGTCACTGATATTACAGGTGAATGCCACTGTGAGAAATCTTACTGAGAAGAAGTATTTGGCAAAATTATAAATATGTGCAAAATGGTTGTCAGTTTATAGAATGTTAGATTCAAGACAGTCAGTCCTAGAACCTAGGAACATTTCAATCCCTAACTGCATGACAGGGCAAGCCAGTGTTTACCCTAATCCTCTGTATCTTTGTGTTTTAATGTATTCATTGGATTTGTGATAATACTATAGGGGAGGGCATGTGCAATGAGAACAGGCAGAGCTGCTTCCTCAGACATGCCTTATGCTGTAAACATTTATTCCTGAGTTGGGTTGCATTATATGCTTGTATTGTTCATAGCCCAGCCTGTGAGTTGAAAGATGAAGGGAAAAGTGAATGAAACTGGTCCTGCTCATTTATTGTGCTGTGTAGTGGGTACCAATCAATGAGTTAGGCCTTTTCATGCCCACCGACTTATCTCATTCCATAATAATGTCATGAATTAAATATCATAGGTTTCTTTTACAAGTTGAAAAAAATATCTTCTGCAAAATGAAGTGGTTTTCAGAGAGCCATACCAGCCTGAGTAAGAGCAGCCTGTATGTAAATGGAGTTCTTGATTGGTCTAAATACTAAAACCCTGGAGTCAGATATAGAGGAAAATACTGAGCGATCAGAGAGAAGGAGCAAGCCACTACCATACCTTACCTCATTAGTGTCTCTGCAGATAAGAGACTGAGTTCCTGTTTCTCCCTGCTTATATCCTGTTTACGCCCAGTTACCTCACTTCCTGTCTGTATGTACAGACCTCCAGAATTCTATGCTTAGCTAGTGGCAAGCTCCATTCTCTGACCTCCAGACAGGTTTTATTTGTACAAGCAAGATATTACCACACCTGTGTAATTAAGTTGTTCACCTGCAGTCAAGTTTTCTCTAGTGACCTGCCTGGTGATTGCCTGTCACAGAGTACTGGCAGGATAACCATTTCTGTTTCTCCCACCAGGGTAGCAGTGGATCACCTGGATCCGCAGGAGACCCTGGCCATCCAGGAGCCCCAGTGAGTGCTCACCCCCAAGTCCCTGATGGTGTTATGGCAAGGGTCTCATGTCATGAGTTGCTTCTTCTCTATCCCTGAAAACACTGGAGAATAAATCCTTATTTAAATGGTACAAATAGTCCTGAAGCCAGAGAATCAGGATATGTAGCTCTTTAAAAGTTTACCATACATTTGACCAATCTCTCAATCTTTGCTGTCTAAAACATGGACACCTCCCACTATTCAAGTCTGAGTATGAATTTCCTTCTTGCCCAGCCTGCTTTTATTTATATTTACTTAGATTGAGATCTATGCAGGAGCCATTTATAAGTATGAAAGGTCATTTAAAAATTGGCCAGGACAGTGACCTAGCCAGTACTTTCCAGATAATTGCCAGGACTGTATAAACCAGGGTGAACAGAAAACCACAAAATCCCAATCTGCCTAGTCACAGCAGGTAGTCACCCTGCTGGTCCAGGGACAACAATGACTGTCTATCATTATGACAGTTCCAGTAATCTACACCAGGAGTTTCAATGCACTACTAAGACAGACTAAATATATAGGGGTAGATCTTGAGGGTGGATCCACCCAGGAGAGGAGCTAGCCCCAGAAGAGCTGACCTACTTGTGGGTACTTTGTGCAAAGCTAAAGCCTTAAACTACAAAGACTGCAGCCACCTCACACTTTGAACCTTATAAGCATCATGGGAAGCAGTGCCCACTTCAAAGAGACTGCACACACACTATATCTAGGTATTGTTTATAAGAATCCATTCTGTAAGTTCTCACTGCTTGGCAGTGGACAATGGAAAAACTATTCTCTGTCTGTGG